CATCATTCGCAATTTTTAACAACGAAATAACATTTTTATTCTATTTAATTTGAAAAAAAAATATTTAACCGCGTATAACGTGGGGAGTCACCTAGTGTGCATATATATAATGTTTTTAATCATTCAGCTCCCACGTATGAAACTACTAACAGATTGGCTAACGAGTATTAGTCAAAGGACATGTATTCGCACATGTAACGAGTACATGTCCATATCAGGACCGTGTACAATAGTAGGGCCATGAATCGGCTTCTCCTTCAGCTTCTAAAGGGGTTTTTAATCTGTGCAATGGTTCCGGTTCTTTTCCTTTGAGTGTTATCTTGCATTTGCTTCAATTGAAAGTCTTCTAATTTAGACATTTGTGTCGAGATATCGAAGTCCACCATTGCTTCATCAATTACATTTCTTCAAAATCTTCAGGCTGTGAATAAAAAGAAATTTGTGCTTTTTTCAATTCTCGTAATGATTCAAAAAGTAAACACTATTCTCAATTTCTCATAGACTGTAATTTGGCTCAACTGACAATTAGAGAGATCAAACGAAAAAGAAATATAGCCCAAAGATTCTATAATCTGTGAAGCATAAGATTTCTTTTGATGCTTTTATTGAAATGAATTCAAATATTGTTCCTTTACGAGTAGTTTTTCCCCCACTATAACAATCACATTTAGAGATTTGGAGCCACAAAGTCGAAGTTTAAGAGCTCTAAATTATCTGGTATCGGTAACGATTAAGGAGATTTTTTGGTTTGTTTTAACAATGTAAGGGGAGTCTCTGACAGTAAGTACCATGAGACATGAATCTTTGTAAAGCATAAATAGACAACAACTCTCATGAAGTATAAAGATTCCATTACATGATGCTTCTATTTCAAAATCAAAGTAGGAGGAGAAGCTTTAAGCGTTTCTGATGGGTTTGAACAAACATCTAAAGCATGTTAGAACATGAATCCTACTCCAGTCTCTTAATCAAGCATATGCTTCTGGTTGACCAATAAGAATCGAAGATGTTTTGCTGAAGCAACTCTTCTATGCGGGGTTTTTCTTACCATACTGATATATCATAACACTGACAGGTTCATGAATTCTTAATTCCAAATTTTCTAATACCAAATCCGGTACCGGAGGCTGAGTGTAGCACATAATGATTGATGATAGAACACTATCACACAGTTCTTAAATGCAATGCTTTATACACTGGTTTTAGATGTTCAGTATTACAATAAGAAGAGATAATATTCGATCAAAACAAACAGAATGTGGCCAACAGTCAAGCCATTTAGTGAGACGTCCACCGATCAATTTCAACGGCCAGCTTCAATATCCAGCATAGGGACATTATTGATGCTATCATAGCCAAATGCTACTGGTTTCTCCTTCTGCTGATAATATGTCAACACCTAGCAAATGGTTGATTTCCTATGCCTCATGATACTGATATGACCATTGATGTTTTGTTTTGGTGACTCTTAAGGCCTCTAAATAAAAGATAGAAGAAGCTAGTTGTTTTTTTATCTTTGTCGCATTAAGAAGCATAGATATATTTTATTTGAGAAGTACTCTTCAAAAACACAGGCGAACGTTCAACTTGAAAAAGAACTAACATCATATTCTTTCTTAATCAAGATACACACACATTGCACTTGTTTCTTGTTCTAGTATAGCAAGAAAATGATCCTAAATGTTTTTAGATTCATTTCAGAAATATACACCAAAAAGATTCAGTCACAACCCTAAGACAAAAGAAGCCACAATCTTTTTAACACAGGCTAATTAAATTGTTCAAAAGATGGCATTAACACAACAAAATCATTAGTAGCAAGAACCTAAAAAGATTTCTTTTTGTTGTTTGTCTCCAGTTAATCAGAACCTCCTACGTCTGCAAGCTTTGCGGAGAAATTTAGTTTCTTGATATTAAATTTCATCTTCTCACCAAGCAATGCTTTCCATTCATCACTTAGCTCTTTTTCTTTCTCGGCTTCAAGGTTCCTTAGATTCTGAAGCAAGAACTTCTGGTGATTTCTACCTAAACATGGAAATGATAACAATGCCGCCTCGAGTGCGTCCTGCATAACACAAAACTCATCTACACCAGCTGTCTCACTCTTCTTCTCTTTCTCCCCATTATCAATCTTTGTACTTATGTTACTCACTTGCTCATGCTCCACATTAGGCACATCCTTATTCAAAACAAGAACGAACTTAAGATCATCATGCACAAGTAATATCAAAAACTTAACATGATGTTCCCAGATGGTAGAACACAAGGAATCACTCACCTTTGCTTGTCCCACATTCTCATTAATCTGTTCTTGCTCCACATCAGTCACATGACTCACATCCTAATTCAAAACAAAAGATCAACGACTCATTAACTAATAACAAATATTACATAATGTTTTGTGAACTCAAGGAACACTCACTCACCTCTGGTTTCTCCACATTCTCATTAATCTGCTCATGCTCCACATTCTCATTAATCTGCTCATGCTCCACATCAGTCAAATCCTTATTCAAAACAAAAGATCAACGACTCATTAGTAATAACAAATGTTACTCAATGTTTTGGTGAACACAAGGAACACTCGCTCACCTTTGGTTTCTCCACATTCTCATTAATCTGCTCATGCTCCACATCAGTCAAATCCTTATTCAAAACAAAACATCAACGACTCATTAGTATCATCAAATTTTACATAATGTTTTGGTAAACACAAAGAACACTCACTCACCTTTTCTTGCTCCACATTCTCATTAATCTGCTCATGCTCCTCCACAGAAGTCACATCCTTATTCAAAACAAGAACAGAATATGTCAGTAACACATTAATAACATCAATGTTCTAGAGATGAGTTACTAAAGCAGATTGGAAGAAGAAAAAACAAGCACTCACTTACCTTCCCTTGGTCCAAATTCTCATTAGAACCACATTCGGTTTCATTTTTCTTTCCCCATATGATCATTGACAATTTAAAGATTTCATCGTCATCAACATTAGTAAAGTCAGGTCCTTTCCCATCTTCGGATTTAGCAAGGTTATCTGTGAATCTCTTCTTCAACTTTCTGACCTTGCTCCTTAGCTGCACTTTTGAGAAGTTTGGTACAATAGAACCTCTGATAAAGCTGTAAAGCGCATCCCAATCAGATCTGTAGCTCAATTTCATTTCATCTTCATAGTCCACAATACCCTTTTACCACAATAAATAGATAAAAAGCGAAAACTTAAGAAACGAAGAAGATAAAATTAGACAAAAAGGTAGAGACTTGTTTTTACAAACCTTGAGAATGAAGAGCTCGTCCTTCTTAGTCCAAGTAATCTTCGAAGCAAATACCAATTTCCGGTGTTGTTGTTGTCGTCGAACTCTTTGGTCTCTTTCTTCTTATTAGCCTCGCTTCCTTGTCGGAGACATCTTCTTCGTCGTCACGCTTCCTCGTGAGTTGAGAAGACGAGGGCTTAGCTCGGTCATTGACACGGATTTCGAAGCGATTAGGGTTGGAGTCGTCGGAATCCATTGAAATGGTGATCAAAGATGAAAACTTTAGACAGAGTTTAGTTTAGGATTAATTAGCTAGATAATAGTATTGTGGAGTAACATAACCGTAATGCAAATTAGGTGGATAGGAGAGAGACACAAAATTCGGACGAAATTGCCCTTGAAAAACTTGGAAAAGGAAACTGTAAAAATCCCAGAAAATCTACACTGTTATCTCTCTTGTATCGCTTGAATTAATTATGGCGACGGATGTTCTCATCAGAAAATCAGTTTTGAGCTTGATTGATGCTTATTTGATTGCGATTGATATTATTTTGTGTATCAAATCTGATATTATCAGATTACAAAAGATTGATGAATAATTCCTCTTTTTCTAGTATAAAACGATATTTGGGTAGCCTTATATTGTGCATAAGCGTAGCGGCTATACCTAAAACTTGAAGAGAAGATGGCTGTCGAAGGATCTGGAAAGCAGGGAGAGGTTATTGTAGTCGACTATCTTTACAGTTTTTTGGATATTTGTAGTTAGCTAAAGTAATTACTGTTATAATGAACTATTTGTTTCAGATGCCGAGAGGATTGATGGTGGTTGTCAAATTGGGTGAATGGGTTCTTTTGGCGAGTGGTGTTTGGGAGTTCAAGACTAAGCAGGCCGAGCTTTGCAAGTGTGTTATGCTCACTTCTAGGTTGCGATTTGAAGAGCTCGTTGGCCTAGTGAAGTTCTAGATTTCTTCAACCAAATCTGTGAAGCTTTCCTACCGATGCCCTGTGTGGATGGTGATGGATGATGGGGGGGACTACACCTCCAGCGTCGATAACTAGTGATGATGATGTGAATGTTTCGAGACGATATGCAGTCACATTGAGAAAGTTACGTTGTGTGCAACGGTGGAAGGAGTTGATGAAGGGCGTGGAGCTGGTGATGAAATTGGTTTCTGTCCAGAGCGTGGTCAGCTTTGTACTACTAAATTGAATTATAGTAAATATCATGTCTGACGTATTGTAGTTGACTATAGTAAATATATACAGCCGTATAGTTGACTATAGTAATTATCATGTCTGAGGTATTGTATTATTTGCGAGCAGACTTCATCGATTTAATATAGCTGACTATTTTAAAAAGAAGTGAATTGTGGTTGTTGTTTGGCTAGCGTGTAGTGAACTATATATACTAGAATGTTTGTAGTTGGCTACCGTGTTTTGCTATGTATGTGGTTTTCTATTAAACTTATTTGTGAATGGCTATATATATGAACAGGAGCAGAGGAAAGTGTGTCAACTGCAAAAGGTAAGGCTATCAGTCTGGAGCAGGAAGATGAAGTGTCTTTCGGTGAGAGTGATTCCGATGATGGTGATTGGCATAACTTCGCTTTGAAGGACTTTGATGGGGAGAAAGATAATGCAACTGAGGATTCAATTCCAGTGAGAAGAGAGGCTGGTGAGTGCTCCCACAAATGGCCTTGTACTTTGGATCTAAATGATAATGGTGAGGATGCTGACATGGAAGAGGACTTGGTTAGAGAGAAGCGTCGGCCATGTGTACTAGAAAAGTGTGCAAATGAGGTGTTGGATTCCGTGTTTTCCAACCAAGGGGGCGGTCTGAGGGACGCACCGCCAATGGTGGACGAAAGTATCAATGCAGGTGAGGTTTTATTTTTGTTTGTTTTTGGTAGTTGACTATGTTCTGGATAATTGAAATTGTAGTCGACTATTGTACACCAAATAGTTAACTATATTTTAAGCTCTAGATTCATGTTGTGAACTATAAGATAATTGGTTTTAATGTTTACTCATGG